AGATCTTGAAAATATATTTAGCTCACTTAATAATTTAAGCGTACAGATCAAATTTTTAGTTAGTGTCCCTTGATACTATCACATGTTAATGTCCATAATAACTCTATGAGACAAATACTATTTTTATTCTAATGGTATGTATGGAGAAACTGAGGCTTACAGTAGAGGTTAAGTTGCTCCTGGTGATCTAGTAAGTTAAAGAACTGGTAGTCCCATCCAAGCATTCATGAGAACTTGCAATCTTAACCACCACGTTTTACAGCCTTTCTACATAAACTCTCTGGACTATTTACATATTAAATATATTGACTATCCTAAAGCAGTTTTTTAAAAATTATACATAGCAGTGCTTAACTGTCTCATCATGTTCAGATGTTTCTGTGTAATTTCTTTTTTTTTCAATAATCAGATTATTTATAGGTTATAGGGACTGGTTTCAAAGTACGTGGTTGTTTATTAAGCTTTATTCAGGGAACTTAGTTGAATCTTGATTTATCTGTACACTGGAAAGTTCCTTATCATGCACCAAATAAGGTCACTGAAAAGGTTGGAGTATTTCCATTGTACTCATCCTGTGACTCCCACTCTCAGCTTAACTGAACTATTAAAAAACTTGAGGACAAGCTGTTTCCAGAAATGAACCTTTCAACTCCTCTAAATTCAAAGCTGACTTTTCTGAGAACAAACATTGTGTGCTTATTGAGTTGTCATAGTGAGTTCTTCAGAGATCTATATTTTTCCTCCTTTGAATAATCTATTTTTTAAACGGCTTAACCTCTTGAGAACTGGTGTGCTCCATTTCCAGCTTGAAGAGTTTTTAGTATCGCTATTTACTTAGTCCTGTCTGAAGATTCACCATCTCCTTTTAGTTTATTTTTAGCAAGAGACATGATGAAATTTAATTTACCTAGTATGGGCCACAGGATGTTAATATTTCCACTACTGAGTGCCAGCAGAGTGCCCCCTGGGTACTAATACTTCTATTAGAGAAGGTGGTGCTGTCAGAATAACAGAGACCAAGGGCTAAGGTCTGTGGTTCTTGGCACGTGGTTGCTATTTTCCTGAACCCTGATGCACAGGCACAACTATTCAACTGCTAATAACAAGCAGAAATTACCCAAGGAATTAAAAGTCAGTTCGAGGAAAGTATCCATTTAAAAATAGAAACTCTGAATTGGCATCAGAGGATTACATCAGAAGCTTAAATAAGTTTGACAAGGTACCAGAACTTGCCATCCCACATGATATAAAATTATTGTTTTGCAGGAAGAAAAGCAATATTTTAACAGGCAGTGCCTTAGCTTCCAAAATCAGTTTCCTTGGAAAAATGTTTCACAAAAAAATGTTTGCACCAAATCACCGTGTTCTTTATTATACATTTAGTTTATATTAAAGTCATTCTTGACTAGCATTGTAAATAGAAAAAATGGAATATGGCAAACTGAAGCAGTTAAAACTTCCACGTTTGACTGAATAATTAAGCAATGAATGATGTGTTTCTTTTCCATTTATTTATTAAGCGAAAATATGTGTACAGGGAAATTGGTATACACCAAATCAAAGAGATAGAATAAGCCACAGTGACTGTCTCTAAAGAACACACAATTTACAGGGAGAGACTCAAGCTAGAGGTCACCATGCAATATGTTCTATACTATAATCAAAGTATAATAAATATTAAGTACTGTATGAGCACACAGGAGAGAGAGGCAAATTCTTTCAGAGAAAGTAGAGAAAACTTCACAAAAAAATTGAATTATGACTTGAAATATTCATAGAAATTTCTTGAGCAGGGAAGAGGGGAAATGGCATTCCCAGAAGGAAGACGAGTTTGTGTGGGGTGATGAAGGTTCAGAGAATAGTGAGTAATTTAATATAATATTAGAAGTGAATTGTACTGGGAGACAAGGTTGAAAAGGGTGGTTTGATTTAAGTTGTTTTTGGGTCTGGTGAGCCAGATCGGTACTATGGACTTGTTATGGCAGTCCATGAAATTTTAAGGATTCATATAATCAGGTTTATGTTATACAATACAAGGATAATTCTGACATCAGTGTAAAGGATAGATTGAAAAATGAACATAATGAGGGCAGAGATGTTAGCTAGGTAACAG